CCGCTGCGCCACCGGGGGAGCCCCTGATATTTTATTTTTAAAGATTTATTTACTTATGCATACAAGAACTGGGGTGTAGGCCAGAGGTAAGGGGGGGTGACAAGATTCACTAGAGACAGAGCGGGGAGCAGAATAGGCAGATCTACTGAAATCCACTGCTGAGGGGAGCAGCGGGGAGACGGGAGAGGTCTGCTGTGCCCTGTGGGTAGCTCCCTGGCCGGCCGGGGATAGAACTCGTGCTGCAGAGGCTGTGGACAGCTTCATCATGCTGAGACTTACTTAACTCCTTGTACCACCAGGGAGGCCTGACAAGTAATATTTTAATATTACTAGTGGTCTTTCTTTCTCCTGTTTCTTTTTCTATTGTCCCAGAGACGGGACAAACTCATTTTGGGGGGGAAACTGCTCAGACGTCCAGATAATGGGCCAGTAACATCCCCATATGATCATATAGGTCGTGCATTCATTCATTCCTTCATTCTCCTTCCAACCTTCCTGCCTTCCTTCCATCCTTCTGCACTTACACAGCGTGTCTGTGCCAGGACAGGCCTCGGCCAGGGGCCCGGGCTGCAGCACAGTGCCCACAGAAGCACCCGTCGCCTCAGTGGGGCGCCCCACACCCCAGATGCTGGTGGCAGGTCAGGCTCTATCAAGTTGGTGAGTTTGGGGTTCCCTGGGGCATCGCGCCAGGTGGCAGCCAGCAGCTGCCACCTTCCCAGGCTCTGGGGCCAGTTTCCCCTGGTTTCCAGCTGAGAGCTGTGTGGTGAGACTGGTGGTGGGACTTGCAGGAGGCCTCCCTTCTGTCGGGGTGCTGAGGGGGTGCAGGGGGGGGAAGGGATGCAGGAAAGAAGTCAGAGCTTCCACCAGAGTGACGGGAGGTTGCATACCCAGCGGGGAGGATGGCAAGTGTGCCTCGGAACCCACCAGAACACCTGGGAAGTGTGGTTCACGCGGTTGTCACTTTGCTAGAGAAGTGCAGGGCTGCCCTTCCCGAAGCCAAGGAGACGCGGGCCCGAGACTCCCAGCTTACGTCCCTTGCTTTCCCGTGTGGCTGGCTGGGGAGCGAGACTTACGGGGACACAGCCACCTGCTAGCTAGCTTGGTGCCAAAACCCCCTCCCTCCCGCCCCCTGGCCTCTGGCAATGACATGTAGTAACGCAGGGGAGGCAGGGGCTCGGTGCCGCGGACCTTGCTGAATCCTGGCTCTGCGGCTCAGGAGCTGTGTGACCTTGTGGAGGCGGCTCACCCTTGCTGAGCCCCTGCGGCCTCTTCTTTAAAGAGAACACTGTCTACCTGTGTAAGGGTTGCGGCATCTCCCTGTACCCCTGGCATTTGGGGGGCACAAGAAGGTCTCGGTCCCTTTTCTGTCTCTGTGGTCAGGAGCCCAAGTCAGGGCCTGGAGGGAAGTGCCAGTTACCCTGCTCCCAGGGAGAGGCGGGGCTGGGGGCAGTGTTCCAGGCGCCTCCCCCTCAGGCGAGTTTCTCATTTGTGTCAAGCCCATTCTCGTCCATGTGTCCTCAGTTCCCTGGGCACCCTGGTCTCCATCCTCCCTGGCAGATAAGCCAGTAACAATGTTATCTGGGCCTCCAGGCCCTGGGGGGCAGCGTTCCTTTGTTGGGCTGTCTTGGCTGCTGTGGGGTTCTGGGAGGACCCGTGTGATGACGGATGGCCACGAGTGCCCGCCCGGGGCCCGCTGAATGTTCAAGGCTGAAGGAGTGGGTGAGTGAGGGCTTTCTAGGGGGTGGGTTGAGACCCCCAACTGGAAGGAGGGAGTCTGGACTCAGTATAGGGCTCCCCTGTCCTGGGCCAGGGGCAGCCATGACCTGAGGACCTGGGCAGGTCTCTTCACCTTTGTGAGTCTTTGAAAAACATCTGTCAAGAGGAGATAAGAACAATAAGTTGTGGGCCTCCCCCGGTGGCGCAGCGGTTGAGCGCAGGGCTGCAAAGCTGCCCGCAGCCTCTGCAGTGCTGGTTCGATCCCCGACCACTGGGCGAGGGTCCCACAAGGTGTACAGACCTCTCCTGCCGCCCGCTGCTCCCCTCAGCAGTGTACTTCGGTCCTTCTGCCTGCTCTGCTCCCCGCTCTGGCTCTGGTGAATTCTCTCACCCTCCCGCGCTTCTGACTGTACCCAGTGCTTGTATAAATAAATAAATCTTTAAAAACAAACAAACAAAACCAATAAGTTGTAACCCCAACACAGAAAACAAGTGCTGGGGGGATGGGTGCCCTGTGCACTGCTGGGGGGCGTGGTGAAGGGCTCGGCCTCTTTGGAGCATCTTGTGGTGGCCCCGCAACATCAATCCTAACCATGCGGACCCACAGCCCCACCTCTGGGGAGGAATGGAAAGCAAGGTCTCCGCGGGGTGTTATCCACCCATGCTCCCCGCGGCGCGACTGGCAATAGCCAGAAGGCGTCCGCCCAGGGTCCTCAGCGGAGGGACAGCAGAGGAAATGTGCCCGCATGAGGAAGGTGCTCAGCTTCCAGGAGGGAGGCAGCTCGGTGCCCGCTCCTGCCGGGAGCCTGGAGGGCGCTGCGGGGGTGCAGGACACGTGCGGTGTCTGGCCATGTCCGGGGGAGCCGGGGCTGCAGAAGCAGCAGGCGAAGGGGCAGCGCCAGGGCCTGGGAGGGGCGGGCGGTGGTGGGGGTGTCTGTTGGGCCTGCAGCGCAGTCCTGGGATGGAGCGTGGTGACAGTTCCACCATGTGAAAGTGTTTCGTGCCCTGAGCTGGACGCTTAAAATCGGTGAAGATGGTCAGTTCCGTTACGTGTCTTTTTCCCGCATGAGAAATGTTTTCAAATGCGCCGTGGAACCACCCACATCTTCAAGAAACAAACGTGCCTTGACTGGAATTGAGTCTTTCCCCTGCAGACTCTAAGTGGCTGCATCCCGAGTGCCTTAGGAGTCTGCACCCCGCCGCTGAGCACAGGAGCCCCAGCGGATTCCCCCAGAAGCCTGGGAAAGGCAGCAGCCACCTCGGGTGGCCACTAGGGGCCGAGGCCAGGCCGCGGGGCTCAGGCAAGGGGCGCTGGTAGCTGTCGGGGCTCCGGCAAGGCCAAGACCCAGAAGCTGTGCTGTCCCAAAGAAGCAACCGCCGCGGGGCTCACTCCTTGCCGTCAACGGCAGAGACACTGTGCCTGGCACACGCCCGGCCCGCAGAGCTCCTCTGCCCTCGCCCGCTGGGCCCGGCGGGGGAGCCTGCAGCACGGGCTGGCTGCTGCGTCAGCGATGCCGGCTCTGCCCGCGCCACAGCCCTGGGTGGTGGTGGCCATTGTTCGCCTGCTGACCTGTGCTGGCCCCTGCAGACGCATTCCTGCCTGATGCCTGAGCGAGATTAGAAATGTCTCGCCGTGAATTGCTCACTTCCACACATTTGAAGAGACATTTATTTACCGGCTGCGGTGTGGTCTGCGCGCGGGGGCAGGGGGCCGCGCGCCCTCTTTGTCCCGTGCGCCCCGTTCCTTCCAGCCAGCTCTCCCTTGTCTGCATTTTTGCCGCCTCCGACTTCTGACCCCTTTCACACTCAGAGCTCCAACACCTGCTCCTTCTGTTTCCCGGGGAAATCATCTCCGGGGGTCACTTCTTTCAGATGCTGGGGAGGGGCTTGGGGAGCCTATGCGGCGGCTTCTGAAGTACCCGAGATGCAGCAGCGCGCATTGTTGCCAGGCAGTTGTTGTTTTAGTTAAGCCCCAGCAGCCCCACGTCTGTCCGTCTCCCTGCCGTCTGTCTGTCCATCATCTGTGCACGTGTCTGTGTGATATGCGTGCATCTGTCACCCTTCTGCTCAGATACACACACATGCAAACACGTATTTCCGTAAGACACACGCCTTAGGTTGCTGTACCGTGCGCTCCTCCGGGCACACACGTGCATGATGATCCTGTTACCATGGAGACGATTCCGCCAGGGCTTCGAGTGGCTGCTGAGCTTATAAAGGTATCAAAAGACCGTCAGTGGCTCAGGGGCCCGAGCCTTCTCACGCACGTGTGCTCGGGACGCGCCTGCATGCTCAGGCCGAAGGACCCGGGGCTCCCCGCCCCCCTCCAAAGCCTCTTTGTGGACCGTGAGCCACGGCCGGTCTGCAGGCAGCGTGTGTTCTCGTTGCTGTGGAGCAGTGACACCGGGGGGCGGGGGTGAGGGTGGAAGCTGGTGAGAGACTAGACCACGCAGTGGGGCGCCGGGGATGGACGGCCTGTGAGCAGCTGACCCGGCGGCCCCAGGGCTGCCCAGGAGGGCGCCATGGCCGGTCTGCCTCTGGGGCCTCCGGTGCGCCCAGGGGCACCGCCTGATGGGCAGCCCAGGACAGAGGGTGCGTGTGCCCTGGGAGCCAGGCTGCCCTGGCTGGGGAACCCCACCCCAGAAGCGAGGGGCCCTTGCCAGTGGTGTGGTCACCGGCCCTCCCACCCCCACGCCAGGGCCCACGGGTGGGTGCTCATGGCTTAGGGCCAGCCAGAGGGGTTGAGGTCGGGCGTGAGGTAGAACGAGTTCTGAGCCCCGCTGCCCGGGCTTCGCAGGGGACCACAGCAGTTCCGGGGCTGGGCTGGTGAGGAGGCAGCGGTGGCCATGCCCGTGGGATGGGGAGCCAGCTGCCCGTGGTGAGCAGTGGGCGCTTTTCATCCCCAGGGAAATGGGGGGCTTGAGGCTTAAGACTTCAGAGTCCCACCCACTTCTCTCACCCCGGAGAGGTGATCTCCCGGGGTTATTGCTTGTGCCCTGTACCCCCAGCCCTCAGAAGCCCCTGCAGGGGGTGAGTGCAGAGGCACAGGGGTGTGGGGGGCACGGTGACAGGAAGCCCTACAGGAGCCCGCAGTAGGGGCTCCAAGAACCCCGAGGAGGCTCGGTCCAGCTGCACATGGACACCGCTTCCCCGAGGATGTTTCCCCCTTTTGTATTCAAGTCAAACAATGGGCCTGGCACTGTGGGAGGGGCTGAGGCTGGCCCCTCAGATCCCCGCTCGGGCCCAGGGGAAGCGCAGACACCGCTGGGCTGGACATCGGGACCATGGACAGGGATGGGAGCCGGAGCCGGGACGACAGTGAGTACGCTGTGGGGGGGCAGTGCCCCCCTGCCTGCCTGGCCCAGGACCGGGTGCTGCCCTTGGTGCCCTCTGCTTCTGCCCCGTGTGTCCGCGGGTGCCCTTCTCTCCGGCCTGCCCTCCCGCCTCTCCCCCTTGGGTGTGGCGCTCCCGCGCCTGCAGGCTGCTCTGACCTCAGGCACCTCGGGGCGCTGGGCCGGGAGGGTCAGCGCGGAGGAGACCTTTCTTCCTAAGCGCCAGTGCCTTCCATTCCTTTTCTGTCCTTCCTCTGGTTGGCAGCACCCTCTCCCCCGGGTCCGCGTGGAGGACGGTTCTTGTTTTAACCACGGTTGGGCTCAGTTCTTCGAGGAGGGTAATTTTAAGGAAATGTCAGGAAAGGTCTTCCGAGCTGCCGCGCGCCTGCTTGTTCACCCCCTCTCACACGACACCCCCAGTGGCTCCTTCCTGCCGTCACCGCGACAGAAACACAGCGCAGCCCAAGGGCTATTTAAAGAGATGAAGACGGAAATGATATTTTAGGAAGAAACGTGCTGTGTTCTTAAAAGGGAAGCTGTTGGTCCTGAATTTGGAAGGGGCACTGGGAGAGAGCCGGGGCGGGAGTTGGGACCCTGGGAGCTGAGTCTTAGCCCTGCCGGGAATTGGCTGTGTGACCCCGGACGAGTCACTTAACCTCTCTGAGCTGCGATGTTCCCGTCTCTCTCAGGAGATTGAGTCCGGAGTTCTTAATCTGAGGACCATGAAGGGGAGGGCAAGATGTAGGAGTGTGCTTCTCCTTCTCGCGCATGTGTGTGTGTGCAGGGGTGTGGCATGCTTTCTTTTGAATCCCACGGAGGCCTGTGACACCAGCACATTCTTCGGTCTCTAACCCGGTTATCTGGAAGGTTCGTCACTGGCTTACTGACAGTATCTTTCAAACTTTAAGTTCCAGAGTCGAAGCGGGGTCTGCGATGGGCCCAGGCTGACCTTAGAGAGAGCTCAGTTTCAATTTTGTTGGAATCCCTTTTCACACTGAAGCGGGAGCGGCGCAGAGATCTTTTGGCATGGGTTTGCAGAGGCCCGCATCTGGCCTCTGACGTATGCCCGTGGTAGCTGCGTGTCCACAGCTCGTCCACAGGAGGGGTTTCCAGACTGGCTAATGCGGTCATCCTCATCAGCAGTCTTTACTTTGTGCTGGACGTTTCTCTGAGTAGCCAAGGCCAGCTGGAGATTCAAACCCCAGATCTGCCTTCTACTTGCTGGGTGATTTTGCTTAAGTCACTTAACCTCTCTGAGCCCAATAAAAACAGAGATGGTGCCATCTCGGGGAGCTGGCCAAGGATTCACGGGCTGCTGAGTGCCTAGTACAGCAGTGGCCCCAGCAGGCCTGCCGGGCATGTTGGCTCCAGAAGTTAGATTTCTGGGGATCAGATTCTGCCCCCAAAGTTTCAAAATTAAACTGCAACTATTGGAAAATATTGTCACTGGTGCTGGTTCCATTTTGGCATCATGACTTCTGGAAAGTAAAGTGTAAGGAATGGGGACCCGATATTTCTTGGCCCCCTGCTTCTGCCTTAGTGTCACCCCGTGTTCTGATCTCCAATAGAAGCCACCCTTGGGCCTACAGCTCGGGCTGCTGCGGGGCAGGCGAGTGTCCAGAATAGGTTTGCGAAACCAAGAGATTTTCCTCCAGGTTTCAGAAGGGGACCTGCTGTGGGACCCTCCGTTTGAATGTCCCTTCTCAGGTGAGGGGTGGCTCTCCCCCTGACCTGCTGGAGCCACCCTTCCCCGTCCCTGAGTGTGGGCCCCCAGGTTTTGAGTCTGTAATGTGGACAGCTTCAGAGAGAATATTTTCCTCTAGTGGCACACTCGGGGACCAAGGAGGCTGGCAGGGGCATTCTGCGCTGTGACATCCAGCCGGAAGCCGCATTAAGGGCCTTTTAGCACTGCCACCTTTGGGTGCCTCTGACAGCATCCCCGACCAGAGGCATATATCACACCATTGCTGGAGCCCCCCCAGGGCAGGCCTGTCCCCTGTTCTGCCACTGAGGACATCAGTAGTTCACTCTAACCCTGAGTAGATATCTCTCTTTCTTTTCTTTTCTTTTTTTTTTTTTAAAGATTTATTTATTTATGCATATAAGAGCTGGGGTACAGGTCAGAGGTGCGGGGGGTGAGAGGATCCACCAGAGACAGGTGGGGAACAGAACAGGCAGAATGACTGAAATACACTGCTGAGGGGAGCAGTGGGCGAGACGGGAGAGGTCTGCTGAGCCATGTGGGTAGCTCCCTGGCCGGCTTGGGATTGAACTTGTGCTGCAGAGGCTTCAGATTGCTGCATAGTGCAGTGCTTAACCCCTTGCGTCACCAGGGAGGCCCAATTTCCTGGAACTTCTACTCTTGGTCATTATCTGTCCCTCCAAGAACCCTTTGGAGACTTCTTCTCTAACTTGACCAGGTTCTTTAATGGCCCCACATGTAATATGGTTTTAATTGATCTTTTTAGATGAAGATGTCTGAGCACAGGGCTGAAGTAGAAAAACCCCCTCCCTTATTCTAAAAGCTATATCTTTTATGCTATAACTTTTGTTACGATAGACTGAAATCTCTCCCAGAAATGGTGAGAGCCTCTTCAATAAAATGGGCAGCAACCAGAGTCCCTGGTAATATCAGGAGGAGGCTGTTCTCGGCCAAGACTCCAGGACTCGGTGGCCCTTCCTCATTCCTGGCACTGGTCCCTGGATTGGCAATGATCTGAGGTCACGCTATTCTCACCATCAGTGAGGAGGTGGGACTTGTTCCTGGGATCCCTAGTCAGCAGCTGCTTCTGCTTCGCAGGCTTGTCCATGAAAGTCTGTTCCCCTCCTCGGGCTGAGCTGGGGATCAGAGACTGGATCTCTGGCATCACGGTGCCTTAGTGGGAAAGGCTGCTGGACTTCACGGCCAGGGCCCAGCGGTGCGGCCTCACAGGTGGACTGTGGGACCCCAGTGCCTTCCTGGGAGTAGAAGCGCAGCTGTCCTGGACTCAGACCCTCCCTGGGGGGCGGGCCCTGGCCCCAGGGGACCCCCCTTCTCTTTCCCGTAGGCTGCCACTTTTCTGGAAGGGGATGCTGACTCTTCCCCTGTCCCACAGGTAATTTGGGCCTTGCTGCCGAGTCCAGGAGCTTGGACGTCAGCTGCGAGCCGTGGGGAGTCCTGGGGTGTGCAGAGGGGGGCGCCCTGGGCGGGGTGTCGTTTTGCTAGGAAGCTCTTTAAATAGCGTAGGAGATTATAATTTCTTTGTTCTTCTTGGCAAAATACACCTTCTTTCTTTTCTTTATCTTCTCATCACCCAAACGTCCCCGCCGCCTCTCAAGTTGTCTAGATTGTGGGAAAATACACTTAACCAAAAATTTGCCATCTCACCCATCTCTGAACGTGCAACAAGTGCATCCACGCTGCGGTGTCACCGCACTCTGCATCTCCAGAGCCCTTTATTTTGCAAAACTGGACTCTGCACCCACCTAACTGCCAATGCCCCCTTCTTGCCTTGCTCCCCGCCACCCCCAGGCCATCGGCTCAGTCTATGAATTTGACCACGGGACTCTTGCACCCCCTCGTGAGTAATGCAAACCATCAGAGGCATTTGTGGGGAGTGGCTGTGGGAGCCCCCGTCCAAAGGGGCCCTCACACCTGCTGAAGAAGGTCAGGAAGGGACCGACTCGAGCCAGGTGGCTGCGGGCAGAGGCAGGGACCCGACTCCTCTTAGCCCCTGACATACAGGCAAGGGGGAGGAGAGGCCGTTCCAGGGGTAACCCATGAGTCACGTCTTTCTCCACAAGACAAATTCCTGCTTCTGCAAAGGAAAAATACAACACCTGGCGGCCGCTGAGCAGGAACATTGTGGCCTGGGTGACGTGGCGTTTGCCAGCCCCACGTGGGCCCCGGCTGCGCGGCCGGTCGCGGGGGTCACTGGGCGGAGGCGGCTGAGTCCCACGCGCTGTGGCGCTGCTCGGAGCGGGCCCGTCACACCTCTGCGCCTCGGCTGGTCTCCTGTGACATGGGGAACGGTGATCGTGGGAGGCACAAGGGGACCCCGCTTGCACCTTCTGCTGGGAGAGCCCAGGAGCCATGCGGGGTGCCAGGCCCGACAGCCGGACACCATGGAAACCGCCACCCCTCGGACACCGTGCCGTGCCGGCAGTGACGGATGGGACCCCGGGGGAGGGACGCCCCCTCCCCGCGGGCCCCCGGAGGCCCGTATTTTGTGCCCAGCATAATGGCCAGACCAATTTAGCTCTGACGCTGGCGAGGCCGGAGCGGGCAGGGCGCCGGGGTGATGGATGGAGGCTGCCTGCCCCGGCTCGCCCTGGCGCTCCTCCTGCCTCTTCCTGCCCGGTCCCGAGTGTCCGCCCCGTCCAGGAACAGAGGGCCGGGCCCCAGGGGAGAGGGCCGGGATGAAGGGCTTTCTTTCCTTTCTTTCAGCGCGTGGCATTTTCCCGCCTGTCTCCCGGCCTCCAGGAGAACAAAGGAGGAGGAAATCTCCCTCCTGGGGGCGCTGACAGGAGCGTCCGCTGGTCTGGGCTGGGCCAAGTGTCTCACAGCACGGGCGTCACGGCCGTGTCCAGTTCCTCCCGGAGGGGTCACCCGCCCAGTGTCCTGAGTTCCGAGGCCCGGGCGCCAGCTTCCGAGCAGCAGGGGCCCCAACGCCGGTCACCCCGAATCCTGTCCAAGCCTCCATGATGGAGGCCCCGGCCTCATGACCTTATCTAAACCTCATCACCTCCCAAAGGCCCCACCTCCCCTACCACGCATTGGAGATTAGGGTTTCAACATAGGGATTTGGGGGCACACAGGCATGCAGTTGATAGCAGGGTCACGCTGGTATTCAGTGGACAGCTGGTCCAGTCTGGACAGTCCAGGATTGTTGCCGGGGTGGCTGGAAGGGGGGTGCCGGCAGCTCCGTCTCAGAAGGGAGTGCTCCAAGAGGCAAGAAGTAGAGGCTGCAGGGTCTAGTGCTCCCATCGTGCTCCCTGGGTTGAAGGACAGAAGGCTGGCCCTTTGTCTTTGATGGTGGGAGCTGCAAAGCAGCGTGATGGGCTGTAGATGACACAGTATCTACCTCCCGGGCTCAGCTATTGTGGGGACTAATTTCTGGTCCCTATTATTGCTACTGCTTCTGATCCCTGGCCCCCCGCGGGCCTATGTCCCTAGTGAGCCGGGCTGTGTTACACCGTGGAGCTCTTTACAATGCACCCGCCTTCACTGGTCATCTTCCTGTGAAGCCCCATCAACACACCAGTCCCCTGAGGCCCGGGACTCTCTGTCCTGCAGGTGTGGTGGACCTCAGCTTCCAGGCCAGGAGCCCTTTGGTGCCCCCAACCCAACTCCAGGAGACGCCGCCCAGCTATGACTGGCTTTTTCAAAGGAGCGGTAAGTTCTTGGGGTCTTGTTTTCTGTGATCAGTTCCTGGGGCTTCTGCTGACTTGGGGGGAAGTCTTGGAACAGGCCGGTGCTGGGATAGCTCCCCTTTGCGCTGGGGGCCCTGGGAAGGCCCCTGTCCTGGTTGGGAGGGAATGGGGGGACATGGGGTGTAGAGCCTGTGTCCATGCACCTCTGCCACCGTGACCATGTCCATTTCAAGCTGGAATCCCGCAGGCCTTAGCGCCATCATTCTGGCTCCGGGTGCGTGGGACTGCGGCCTGTCTCATATCCAGCCAGGCTCCCTTCACCCCAGAAGCTTCTGCTCCTCTGAGCTGGGCTATCCAGCACTGACCCTACCCTCTACCCACCTCCCCTCCAGACCAACAGGAATTCTTCCCACCTCTGGAGTCTCCAGGGAGAACCCAGGAACAGAGGCACTGGGCCTCCTTCCTGGAACACAAGTGAGTTGGAGGTGGGCTGCAGGTGAGGCGATCCTCACGACATCATCGCTTGTGGTCGCCACTGGCCCTGAGAGCCCTCCTCGGGGGTCTAAGCAACCACAGATCTCCACCCTGATGGGGTGTCAGGACCCCAGGCCTCCTGGATGAGATTCTCCAGGGCTGGAGTCCAGGAGTGTGTCCTTCACCAAGCTCTGCAGGCCGTTGGCCATGAGCCAAAACAAAGTGGCGATGGGAGGGTGGACGCCTGTTTCTGTGGATCAGTCACGCTGTTCACTGATCACCTGTGGCTGCCTTGCCATCTCCCTCCTATGGCCCGTGGAGCCCTGTGAAGACTGATGGGTTCCTACTGAGCCCTTTGCAGGGAAGTTTGCTGCACTCTGGCCCACACCTTCCCTGCATGTTTGGAGAGGCCTGGGGCAGGGAAGGTGGAGCCACCCTTGGGGTTTGACCTTGGTTGGCCTTCCCGTGTCCTGCCTTCAGGGAGTTTCCTGGGTGCTCCTGGCGCTGCTGCTGTCTTGAGCACCCCCTCTCTCCTCTCTGGTCACCCCATTCCATGCCTGCAGACCCCCATTGCACACACAAAACCCTGGGACCTGCAGACCCCTGTGTTCACTGAACCTGGTGCTGGGGATGGAGCGCTTGGGACAGGGAGCCATTGGGAGCAGGACTGCCAGGGAGACACCCACGCAGGGCACAGGGAGGAAGGAGGAGGGACTCCTTGTCCTGGAGGGGGTGTGGTGAAGGAAGGGACAGGCAGCTGATCCTCAGGGAGTTTGCAGGAGGAGGGGAGGCATCCAGAGAGAAGGGGGTGTCTGCCCTTTCCTGTGGATGGTTCCCAGCCTGGCTCTTCCAGGAACGCTGCTCACAGCCCCGGGGCAGGCACCGGACCTGGCCTGCTCTGCCGCCTTCCAGCTGTGGGACCTGCCTCTGGACCTCCGATTTCTGCAAAATGGCATAATTCACCTTTAGGGTGTTTTCTGAGTTCTGAAGGTCTAGCAGGTCTTCTCCCGAGGCCCACACTTCAGCTACAGCAGTTTTGCTGTCGTCCAGAGACCCCCACACAGTGTCTGTTCCCCCCGCGGCACGCGGTCCCCGAGCAGGACGCCCTCCAGCCGGCCGGCTCTCCCGCTGAGAGGGACCGGCCCTGCTGCCCGGGGCGATTCCGTCTGCACCCTGAGGGCCTGGCGGGCCTGGCGGGCCTGGTGGGCCGGGGTGGACCCCCGCAGCCAAGGCCTCCCTGCTCGCCCTCGCAGGGCGCCGGTGGTGACAGAGGCCGAGGCCCGGGAAGCGCTGCTGGGCTTTGTCAACGCCGAGTGCTGCCACGGCCGGGTGGCCGCCAGCGAGCTGGTCATCTGGCAGCTGAAGCGGCAGACCCTGTGCAGGGTGAGGCCTCTGGCCCGCAGCCCCCCACCCACCCCGCTCTCCTCAGCGGCGCCTTAGAGGGCCGTGGGCGGGGGCTGCGGCCAGAAACAGGGAGGACCCGGGGTGGGGCTGGGGTGTGTCCAGGGACGCCCCGGGGGCGGGGCTGGGAGAACTCAGGGGTGGGGCTGGAGGTGGGGCCATGGGCGGCCTGTGGCGGGGCTGGGGGCGGGGCCATGGGCGGCCTGGGGTAGGGGTGGGGCGGGGCCACAGAGAGCCTGGGGCGGGGCCACAGAGAGACTGGCAGAACAGGGGACGGGGCCACAGAGAGCCCGGGGCGTGGCCATAGGGATCCTGGGGCGGGGTTGGGGGGGGGGCTATGGAAAGCCTGGGGTGGGGCTGGAGGCGGGGCCACGGAGAGCCTGCGGCGGGGCTGGGGGCAGGGCCATAGAGAGGCTGGGGTGGGTCCAGGGAGGGCCGGGGGCGGGTCTGGGGCGGGGCCAGGGAGGCCCGGGGCGGGTCTGGGGCGGGGCCAGGAGGGCCGGGCGGGTCTGGGGCGGGGCCAGGGAGGGCCGGGGGCGGGTCTGGGGCGGGGCCAGGGAGGGCCGGGGCGGGTCTGGGGCGGGGCCAGGGAGGGCCCGGGGGCGGGTCTGGAGGCGGACTTGGGCTGGGCATGGAGGCGGGGCCATGGGGCCAGGGGCGGGGCCGGAGCGCAGGTGTGGGGTCACCGGGGTGCAGGCCTCTTGGGGGACAGCGCACGTGCCGGCATCCCTGCCTGCCCGGCCCCGCGGCCGGCATCGCGGGGAGCCGGTCGGGGCCGGGGCGTCTCTGCTGCGCACTCCCGCGCCCTGCCGTGCAGCGGAGCCGGGTCGCGCCTGACTCTGCTCCCCCCGCAGTACCGGCTGGAGACGTTCAGCGAGTCCAGGACCCGCGAGTGGACGTTCCAGCCCTTCTCCGGTAAGCGGCTGCCGGAGCGAACAGGGCGGGACCGGCGGCGCGTCCCGCTGGTCTCCGCCCTCACCTCGGCCACGACGCTGTCCTGCCCGAGCTGGGGCGCCCGCCCTGGGCTGCCCCCCCGGGACACGGGCTGTGGCCAGGGCGGCCGGGGAGCCTTCCCCCGCGCCTGCTGACCCCTCGCCCTCCCCGCCGGCGCCCCCCAGTCTAGCCCGGGCCTGTGCACCGGCCTCCTCTCCCTGCCTCGCGGGGCAGCTCTGTGTCTGGGTGGGCCCCCCTCCGGCCCACGCTGCCCTGTTTCCTCTGCTCGTTCCCTGGACCTGGTCACTTCAGGAAGCCTGTCGGGGGGTCTCCTCCGCTGCCGCTGCTCCCCCGCCCCACATGATCCCGTCCCCTGAGGGCTTGCTGTCCTCCTGCTGTCCTGTCGGAGCACCTGTCCTGCTCCCTCGTCCCTGCTCACCTGCGGTTTCAGCTGCCTGTGCTCACACACAGCCTGAAAATGTGACATGGAGTAAAAGATTTTGAGAGAGAGAGAGAGAGGGAGGGAGGTCATGTAACTTTTGTTCCGGGATTGTGTTATTTCTTTCCTTTCCTTTTCTTTTTTTTTAAAGATTTATTTGTTTATGCATACAAGAGCTGGGGTACAGGCCAGAGATGCGGGGGGTGAGAGGATCCACCAGAGACAGAGTGGGGAGCAGAACAGGCAGACTGACCAAAGTACACTGCTGCAGGGAGCCGCGGGCGAGACAGGAGAGGTCTGCTGCGCCATGTGGGTAGCTCCCGGGCCGGCCAGGGATGGAACTCATGCTGCAGAGGCTGCAGATTGCTTCATAGTGCGGTGCTTAACCCCTTGCGCCACCAGGGGGGCCCCTATTGTGTTATTTCTACTGTTTCTTGCTGTGCCTAGTTCAGGACTCAGCTTCAGGCCTGTGTGTGCACATGGTATAATCTGCACAGGGCTGGTGCCATCAGAGGTTGCAGGCACCCACTGGGGTCTTGAAATGTATCCCTGGTGAATAAGGGGGTGGTGGGTGTGTGTCCGTCTCCTTGGAAGGGCAGAGGTATGGGGAGGTGGCAGCGATGAGGGTGGAGCTTGTCCCCGGCTTCCTGGCTGAGTGCTCAGACCCTTCCTCAGTGACGTTCGCCTCCGTCCCACTCTGACCCGCACTGCGGACAGGAGAGAATTGCAGGCCGGGAGGCGAAGTGACTTGTCCGGAGCCACACAGCTGAGAAGCAGAAGATCCAGGGATCACGCACATCTTGGGTGTTTAATCCTGGGCCCCAGGGGACCCTTGTCTGCAGCCCCGGGGCCGACCCCGCTCCCTGCCATTCGTGAATCCATCAAAGCTTGTCCGCCCGCCAGGGCCAATTCTCACCACAGCCCTTCCCACGTCAGGTCACTCTGTGGACGGGCCACAAAGAGGAGCCTCCCCCCGGCTCTGGGACATCAAGGTCCAGGTCCCCCCGATGTTCCAGGAGGACACCCGGAAGCTCCAGGTCCCTCACTCTTCCCTGGTCAAGGTCAGGCGATGGCGGCTATTTGCCTTCTCTGATAGGGCTCCCCGGGCTCCCCGTGTGTCCTCCAGCTTTGTCCTTTTGAGAAGGAAGCCGGCTCCAGGCTCGGGCTGGTTCCCCGCCTGGCAGTCAGCCCATCTCCAAGAGAACCGGGGGGCCATGCCATTCCATACGCAACTCCGGGCAAGTTAGGGTGTCCAGCTAACAGAAGGAAGACCCCCTTTCGGACCTGCCCACTGGCGCTCCCGGCACCCACGCTCGCGGCCCATCTGCGTGCTCGCGATCTGACTGACCTGGCTGGAGTGCAAGCCGCTGAGGTGCTGGGCGGCAGCGGCGTAAACGCGGCTCGGGCGTTGCCGGGTTTTTCCAGGAAGGCTGGAGGGGAGCAGGTGACAGGCCCGGCGAGGGCTAGAAGGTGTCCACGCTTTTCTCGAGGGTGGGGAAGCCATTTGGCCTCAGTGATTAAGTTCTGGTAGTGAGTCAGAGCCTCACTGGCTCTCCCCAAACTGTGTCCGTTGTGTGTCACCTCCAAGGACGGCTTTGGCTACCCAGGGACGGCCACAGGCTGTGGCCCGGGCGGGAGGCCGAGCGCGGGCGTCAAACGCGGCTGGGGCTTCCAGGACGGACGGGAGGGCTGGGCGGGAGGACGCGGTGACAGCATCTCCAGGCCTCTGACCCTCGGGGGTCCTGGGCGGTGGGCAGGGCCCGCTCCCCGGCCCCGAGCGGCTGTGCCTCCTGCGGGGTGGTGAGATGGGGCACGGGGTACAGGTGGAGAGACCAGGGGCTGGTGTTGGGGAATGAGACCCACGCGGGGCTTGGCTCTTTCAGGAGTGTCACAGGTGCCACGGCCGGGGGCGAGATGCGTGTGGCGGCTGCCACGGGGCTGGCGTGGTGAGTCACGGTGGCCCCGGGGGCATGAGAGAGGGTGTGGGGGCCTGGGGCGCTCACACTGACCATGTGACCCCCGCGGGTATCCACGCACCCGCCTGTAAAGGGGAGGGGGCCAGGGGTGTCTAGTGACCTTCCCTCCAGCGGCCCCAGTCTTAGGGGAGCCTGAAAGAGACCAGGGTGGGGAGCCCAAAGCGGGGACTTCAGAGGACTGGTGGTCGCAAACCAGACCTTGCTGGGGCTCCTGGGGCGCCACCCGCAGGGCTGACCAGAGACAGGGTGGCTCAGAGCCCCACAGCTGTCTCCTCCCGCCGTTTCCCAGCAAGGTCACACCCAGTGTCCACATGGGGAGGGTTGTTGGGCCCCGTGCAGCCCTAGGCCAGGCTCGATGGCATCTGCTTGCTTTTCTGAGACCTTCAGAGCTGCTAACCCTCCCAGGAGGGGCCGAGCTCCTCACTGTTCCCAGCTGCCCCGTTCAGCTGAGTCCTTCAGGCCCACCCTGCCTGCGGCCACCCGGCTGCCCCACCCCCTGGCCACCCTGTGCCCTCTGCGCCCGCTGTGCCCTCTGCACCCGGCTCCCCTTCCCTCCTGAGCCCTCCAGGGCCCCTCCCCGTGGCCTCGCTGTTCCTCCCTGCCCGCCCCCGCCTCTCCCCCTCAGCCTTCCCTGGACTGTCTCTGGAGCCTCCTATGCCACCTGTGGGGTACGCCTGGTCCCGACCACAGGGACGCCTGGACCCGCCCACCCTCTCTGGCTTGTCTGCTAGTCGGGGGTCCCAGAGTCTTCATGGGGATCAGAGCTACGGGCACCTTAGGACTTAGAGTCTTTGAAATTTGGTGGGGCGCCCCGAGATACCCCTCGCCCATTTACAGGGGCTGGGGCTGGGCCGGGGCGGATGTGGCTGCCCGAGGTCGCCAGCCTGGGCCTGGAGCCGGTCTCCCTCGTGCTGCGCGGGGCGGCCTCCCGGGGCCAGTGGGCTGAGGCCGTGCCGTGTCCACAGGCCCGGTGTCCGGCCTGCAGCAGAGCCAAGCGCAGGGCCCGGCCGCCCCGCAGGTGTCAGATGTGCTCCGGGTCCGGCCGGCGCAGGTAGGCGGGTCCCCGCGGTGCTCTCCTGGCCGCCCCGTCCCGGCCAGCGGCTTCCCCCTGCGGCCCCTCCTGCGGGCGGCGGGTGTCCTGCTCTGGAGCCGAGCTGGACGGGCGGGCCTGTGGGGCGAGGGTGGCTCCGAGGGCAAATGGGGCACTGACCCAGGTGTGGGACTCTGAAGACGGGCTTGGGGCGGCTCTCTGGCAGCGGCCAGAGCCCCGAGACTGAGCGGCCCGGGGCCCCCTCAGGTGCAGCACGTGCTCGGGCAGGGGGAGCAAGCCCTGCGCCACCTGCAAGGGGGAGAAGAAGCTGCTGCACTTCAGCCAGCTGGTCATCGCCTGGTAGGTGGCGGCGTCTGGGCCGAGGCCCCGGAGGTGGCGGGGGGCACTGGGGACACGGCCTCGGCGGGTGTCTGCAGAGAAACTCCACTCGGGGCCTTCACAGGGCTGGGTTCTGGGGGAGGAGAGGCTTCGAGGGGCTCCGGAAGGGGTGGGTCCATGGAGAGGCTAGTGGGGGTGTGGGGCTGGCAGGGTGCAGGGAGGCTGGAGGGGGGCTGCCAGGATCTGGTTGGGGCTGCAGGGGGTGGAGGGGGGCTGGTGGGGGCTGGCAGGCCTTGGAAGAGGCGGCTCCGAGTTCAGGTCTGACTTCACCCCTTTCTAGCGCAGCTGCCGCCCTGCACTGGGCCTCCCCTTGGGGAACCAGCCCCTGCTGCCTCCTCGGTTCCATGCCAGGGCCACCCCCATTCAGGGCTGCCCGTCGGGTCGCTGAGAGCCGGGTCCATAGCAGACAGGCGCCCCACTAGCGCCCCGTGTACAGATGGGGCTGTGGAGGCCCAGAGAGGCTACAGAGCTTCCCAGGGCCCCTCGAGGGGTGAGGCCAGAGTCAGCTGGTCTGTTCCCAAGCCTGTGCTCTGGGCCCCCTGCTGTCCCCCCCCCCCCCCCCCCCCCCCCTGCCTCTAGGAAGAACAGCCTGTTTGAGTTTGTGTCCGAGCCGGGGCTGGACTGCCCCAGGGAGCTCCTGGCCAGAGCCAAAGGGGAGAGTCTGTTCAAGGACGAGAGCGCCAAGGTAAGGGCGGCTGCCTGGGCCCTGGGAGGCGGGTCCTCTGGCTTTTGGGGGGGGCGGGAGGAGGGTCCTTTGGAAGGAAGGCTGGGGGCAGAGCTGCCCTGGAGGATGGAGGCTGCTGGGGCCAGCAGGCTTGTCTCCCACTTCCACAAGCTCCCTCCTCACCTGCCTCCCTTCCCCCCAACCCCGAAGCCTGCCAGGGAGAAGGTAACATCTTCACCTCCAAGTCAGAGGGTGAGGGGGGGAGAGGCAGGAGGCTGTGGCTTAGCTGGGGGAGCAGGGATGTGACCCCAGACAGGGTCAGCAGGGAGTGGGCCGTGTAGCCTCGGGGGTGTCCAGCAGGGGTGTGGGCCGCTGGCGGGAGAGCAGGTCTGGGGCTAACTAGCCAGGTGCTGGGGGAGGGGCCCACGCCACCCCTCGCCTGCTTTTAACTCAAGCTTTACGGCACAGGCCTCACCTGTGTGTGCCCCAGGGCTGCAGAGCAGCATTGAGATGGACTCCCTCACCCCAGCTCCTTACAGCCTGGCCCTTCTGGACAGATGTGTGCCCCTGGCAGGATGGGGGTGCACAGCCCCACGCGGGGTGGGTGGGGCCACCGAGAGGGCTCCTGCTCTGGCTCCTTGGCTGGGCGCTCAGCCCCTCTGCGCATCCCTCCAGCTCCCCAGGCTCACCTTGGGCATCGCCCCCCTCAGGAGCCCGGCACCCCACCCCGTGTCCAAGTTAGGGGCCATGGAGACTTGCTGGGTGACAAGTGGGGTTGGCCCATGGCTGGAGCCTCCTGCAGGCTGTGCTGTGCTGATGGCGGAATGGACCCGCCCCTGGGCCGCGGGGCCTGGGCCTCCCTCCCGCCCCTTCTCTGTGGGCTCAGCCGGGCGGCTCTGGGCAGGGCAGCGAGGCGGCCTCTCTCCTCAGGTGTACCCCATTGTGGACTTCCCCCTGCGGGAGATCTGCCAGGCCTCCCGGCGGGGCCTCTCGGAGCACAGCGCCGCCCTGGCCTCCCGAGCCCGCGTCCTGCGCCAGGTGAGCGGGTGTGGGGCGCGGGTCACGCCGCGCAAGCCCAGGTTTTTGTGTGAAAACTTCCAACTTCTTGATACGGGCACAGAAATCAACATGCAGCGAGTGCTGGGCCCGGGCCTGCTTCGGCCTGGGCTACCATATGCTCAAGCTGCCCCCGGGTCAGGCCCAAGCCTGTGACCATTTCTGATAAATCAGCGGCGGCCCAGAGTGGGGGTGCAGGTCACCCACAGTCACGCAGCTGTTAGCGTCCAGGCGGGGAGCCCGAGATTCCTGATGCCAAATCTTCCTCCTGGCACCGAAGACCCGTGAGAAGCCCGCACAGGCTGGGGTGGGGGCGTCAGCGGGGGTGGGGCAGGGAAGGCTCTCTGGGGGCCCTTTCTGGGAGGACCTGCACCCTCCCCTGGTTCCCGCGGCCCCCCACCCCGGCCCGGCTACAGAACCACGATGGTGTCTCCTGCCTTTTCTCCAGTGGCTGCCCCGTACCTCAGGCCCCTGGATTTCAGACAACTGTTGAGTAACTCCTCAGGGGAGGGTCCGAGAGGAGGGGTTTGGGGGCCTTGCTGGAGGGAGGGGGCGCGACAGGCCCTGAGGGTCAGGTGGCTCCTGGGAGGGGATTTGAGAATTAAGTTCCTGCAGACCTGAAATTCCATCAGTCCTGGGCTTCGGTTCCCCCATTTCCAGCAGGAAGGAAATACTCGAGGTGAACCGGAGTGGGGGTGACGGTGGGGGCGGGCATGAGGACGTACCCCGGAGCCATCAGCACCCGCGGGGCTTTCTTTGGTGTCTTAAACTTTCATGCAAATGTGTAACCCACTCCTTGACCTCGCCTTGGCGCGTTTACTATGAACGTGTTGGAGGACGTCATCCTGTTATAGGGCAGCCCCGATACTGAACGGGTGCCTGGCTGTGGGTCCTCACCGCGCGCTTACAAGGGACTTATGAATACTCCACTGCAGGCACACACAGAAGGTTCATAAAAAGTTTATTTACAAGGGAAAAGTCTAAGGAAAATGGACAACTCAGGGAGAAAATAGGGAAATAAAGTCTTTCATGCGTCCTACCCGATCCGCCGACCTGGAAACCCAAAGGCACTCTCAGAGCTGGCCGGATGCTGCGAGCTGGCGGGGAGCCAAAATGGGGGACCCCCCCCCCCGCCAAAGCCCACGTGTCTGCCTTTATACCCACCTGGCTGCTGAACCCCACCCTCAGGTCCCAGCCCCCTTCCCTTGGGTGGGGATGGGATGTGGAGTTCCCAGTGTCTTTGGCTTTGGCCTGGGGTGGGGGTGGAGTCCACGAAGCCTGTATGGGATTAGCTTTAGGACAGCCTGTTCCCCCTAACAATTCCCCACCTTTCTCTGCCACTCCCCCACCTGTAAATTACTGCTTCTGTTGATGGAGCCCCCAAGAGAGTCATCCCACCGGCGGTGGGCGGTGGGAAGCCGGGGAGGTCGAGAGCCGGCGAGGGGCCTGCGCAGAGCACTGAAGTCCTGTTGGCCCCTTGTCTCCGCAGCGCCAGACCATCGAGCTGGTCCCCCTCACGGAAGTGCGTTACTGGTGCCGCGGGAGGACGCACGTCTGCTGCATCTACGGCACCGACCACAGGGTGCACGCGGCCGGCCGCCCCCAGCCCTGCTGCTGTGCCTGCACCCTCCTCTGACGCTCGCCCGCTGGCCCCAGGGGGCACGTGTTCTGCGGGATCTTGCTGCTGCCCCCAGTGTCTGAGCGCCTGGGTGCTGACCGCAGGGGCCGTGGCTAAGAGTTGTGTCCACCCTCACGGCGGCCCCAGGCACGAGGGAGCTTGACAGGACGCAGCAGGGCCAGGACTAGAGGCGCCGACACCGCAGCTCAGCAAAACTCCACGAGGCTCAGATCTGGCTTCTGTGCCAGGCCCCTGCATGGGGCAGGCCCGGGCGCACCCTTGGGTGGGGGCTATACTCTGGTCCTTAGGGACAGAGCCTGGTGGTGGCAGAGGCAGTGGGGAGGGGCTCCCCCAAACTTGCCACCCCTGGGATACAAGCTGTGTTGTGCTCACGTCCTAAAGGTCAGCACCCCAGCCCCAGGGGGACCCTGGGGTTTCCTCTGAGGTCTGGGGGAGCAGTGTCCTAAGGGGTTTTGGTGGTTGTCATGGCTGGAGGCAACACAGTTGACATTTGGTGGACATGTTCCTGGAGGCAGGACGCCCTCGATGATACCTGTGTCTCCCATATCCCCCCACATTCACATGGAGTTTGGTTGTGCAAAAGCCTCACCTGTTGTGACTTAAGATGTTGCTGATTGTTTATCAGCGTTCACCTCTGTGCTCCCCTCTTCCACCTGTCTTGTCTGCAGTGGCTTCTGATCCCCCTGAAGACTTGTGTTGGCTCCCGTGGGGCCAAAGCTGGGGTGCAGTAGCGTGTGGGTTGTGTGTTCTCAGGGCACGGCCGCTGCTGGTGTGTGAGGGGCTGGGGGCAGGGGTGTGGGAGGAAGAGGCCAGACCTGGGTGGAAGCATGGAAGGCGGGTGCTATGGTTTGGTTGTCTGTGTCCCCCAGTTCTTAGGTTGTTCTCCTAACCCCAAATGCCCCCAGTGTGGTGTATCTGGAGGTGGGGTCTCTGAGGGGTGTTTAAGTCATGAGGGCAAAACCATACACACGGCATCAGTGCCTTACAGCCCAGAGCACTATCCAGCACGAGAGGGGGGAGCAGCCTGTGAACCAAGATGCAGACGCAGCCTCCCCTCCCCCCAAAACTGAGCTGCCAGCACCTTGATTTTGCACTTCAGCCTCCAGAACTGTGAGGCATACATTTCTTCTGTTTATAAACCACGGATGCTGTGGTGTTCTGTTAGAGGGTGTCCAGGCACAGAATCTGAGCCCATCCGGGGCAGCAGGGCATTGAAAATGCACCTTCCCAGGCTCACCCATATCTGTTTGGGGCATCAGGGCCTGAGATTCTGTCATTTTCACCCCAAAGTCCCAAGATGCATGTTAAAGTGGGAAATAGACATTTGGATTCTTGAGTTTTGGAATCAGAACTCAGTCTTACATTTCTCTAAACTTCATCAGTAAGTTGGGGATTGTTCCCGCCTTTCCTACCCTGCAGGGGTGTTGGAAAGTCGCCCAACGCACTGGAGCCCTTTGCAAAAAGAAGCTCCTGGTCCCTCTTTTTCTTCCTGGGAGCAGAGAACCTTGACCTGCTCCAGCGCGTCCTGCCCACCAGGGGGCAGCAGGTGCACGCACGGGCCGCCGCAGCGCAGGGTCGGCTCCTGAGTCTCCTGCAGGCGGAACCCGGATAGGTGGTCCCGGTGCGGGGAGCCCCTCGCAGGGCCTGGCTCGTTGAGAGCCATTCGTAGGAAAAGTCAGGGATGACTCTGAGTTCTGGCTCGGTGCTTTTGCAGAATCAGAAAGTTGGGTTGTATTTTTTTGGACATTATTTTTTTTAAGATTTATTTATGCATACAAGAACGGGGGTACAGGCCAGAGGTGTGGGGGGTGAGAGGATTCACCAGAGACAGAGTGGGGAGCAGAACAGGCAGATCTACTGAACTCCACCACTGAGTGGAGCAGCAGGGAGACAGGAGAAGTCTGCTGCGCCATGTGGGTTGCTCCCTGGCTGGGGATCGAACTCAGGCTGCAGAGGCTGCAGTTAGCTTCATAGGGTGCGTCTTAACCCCTTGCGCCACCAGGGAGGCCCTTTTTTTGGACATTTCTTGAAAATAGTTTTTAATGAGGTAATGTGTGTTCACATCACCATGCAGCTACCAAGGCGGGGCGTTGAGTATCTTCGCTCAGTGGGCGGAGATCTCCCTCCCCCTCTGTTCCACCCTCCCTCCCACCGCACCCTGGGTGGGCTGGTCTGAGAAGCATCAGGAAGCCCCCGTGGGCTTCCCAGCCCCTCGCTCAGCCTGCCTGCATGCTCTCCCTTTGCAGCCCAGCTGACTGCGCTGACCTAGCGTGTCTCTGATGTGAGCGCGGCCCCCGGTCATGCCCAGCTCTGTCTCCCTGCATGGACAGTGGCTGCAGAATCCAGCAGGGTGGGAATCAAAGTGACTCTTTCTTGTCCACATGCTGTCACCTGCAAAGACCCCAGCCCCGGGGCTTCCTGTGTGTGGAAAGGGAGCTGAGCCAGCGCGGGGAAGGGGTTAAAGGCATCCTGGCCCCGCAGGGGGACTCTGTCCTTGTGGTCAACAGCGCGATGGGGGCGGGACATGGTGGATGTCTCCCGAGTGAGTCAGGGTTATTTAAAGGTGGGTCTGTGGGGCGTCCCGAGCCGTGTCCTGAATGGCCATGGAGCGCGTCCCTCGGCACGGACAGTCCTGCCCCAGAGACAGGCTGTCCCGCCACCGCGTCACATGGCCCGGCTCTCCGGGACCGGTGGGGACTGACACGGGCAGGTGCACACAGGTAAAAATGAGCTGGCGTTCGTCATCCCGGTCGCTCAGCCTGGCTTCCCCGAGCGGGCGGGAGAGCCGCGTCCTCACGCCAGGCTTCTCTTTAGAGAGGCGGCCCTGGGCGGTGAGGGGGCCGCCAGAGTCTCCACGGTGGGCCAGGGCCGCCCTGGCTCGTACCCACCGGGACACAACTCCACAGAGTTTCCCCTTCTCCATGAAGGAGCCGAAGCCAGCAAGTCAGTCAAGAAGGGGGACGAGCAACCTTTGGGGAGCGTGACTGCCACGGGTGTGCTTTTCCCAGGCGCGCCCAGCGGCTGTGCACCCAGACGCCGTCCGGAAAGACTCACAAGCGCTGACATAACTCGGATGCCAGCGCTGAACGCCGAGAGTGACCTTCGCAAAATATTTGCATCCTTTTAAAATTCTCTTTCTGGGCCAGGACATGAGCGGCGATGCTCACACTATTGGCAGCGTCGCCTTTTAAAATCTTTAATTACAGAAGATTTCAAGCCGGTGCCAGAGAGGAGAGAATAGCAAGGGTGCCTCCCCGCTGAGCGCCCCGCACCGGCACCCAGTTTCACCAAAGGTTAGCTCGCGGCAAGGCCTGCGCCCCGCTCCCGCCGCCCTCGGCTCTGAGCTCATCGCGCAGGAGCTGAGGGTCACGTGGCTTCGTGCTCAGATGCCTCCGAATGTGAGGGGGTCGAACCACACACAGCGGCTGGTGGAGATAGAGTAGGTCAGCTGGAGCGAACATTGGAACGTGGGCCCCCTCTGGGGTGGCGTCTTCAGCTGGCTCCCCCTGTATGTCTCCATCCCCCAGGGAGGGAGGGAATTTCTCTGGAACCCCAAGCTCTTCTGGGGACTGTCTGCTCAGGCACTCAGAGATCGTACATTTTCTGCCTATTTAGGAATTTTTGTTCTCTACAAATTCTGGTGCCCTGAAAAAAGAGGCTTCAGAGCTGAGGGAGCTGGTGGGTGGGAGGGGAAGAGGCTTCTGGGTGCTTCTGGACCCAGGGGGGCTGGCGATGCTGTTTAAGAGCACGCCGGGGTCTTGCCGCTGCTCTGCGCTCCCGGCCAAGCCACTCGCCCTCTCTGGGCTCCAGTGGCCGCAGCCAAGGCCGACCGGGGCCGAGGGCGTGTGCCCTTGTTTTCCCAGCGGGCAGGTCAGAGGCTCCTCTCTGAAGCCCCCGGTCACCACACCCACTCCTAGCCGGCCGGCCCTCCTTCTCAAGGGCCTCACGTCCTCCGCTGTGGGTCATGGTCCCCCCACTTTGAGGGGCTGATTGAGAAGGAAGCACCTGCCGACAACAGTGGAGAAGCGGGGGGGCCTGAGGCCACCTCCGCGGTGTCCTTGACTGCACGTCCCTCGGGGGGCACGGCCGGGTCCCGCTGCTCGGCTCTATTTCCGTCGCCGTTTGGCATGTGTCACCTTGCAGAGGCCGGGCCCTCGGCACAAAGGGCCAGAGTCTGCCACCGGAATGGTAATGTGAGGACGCTTGGCCGCCGTCCCTGGGGCTTCAGTGTTCTCTGGGACCGGCTGAGTGACCCCATCAGGGACTTAATTACTTTCTGGACTAGAGGGCCCTGGTCTGGGGCTCAGCCCCTCGTGTGGCTCCAGGGATCCTAATTTAGGAAAAGGAATCAGCGGGATGGCAGCTGCTGACGCCGCCTGGCTCCTGCCGGCGGCCAGGGAGTTGAGAGGCCCTGCGAGACCCTCGGGCAGCGGCGAATCTTCTCTGCAGAGGACGCCTGGAAGAGGCTCGGTCTTGGAGGTGACCGGGGCCAGGGTGGTCAGCCGAGAGGCCGGGCATTCTGGCCGTGCTTGGTTACTTCCAGTGACGGGGAGCTCAGTCTCCATGGAGACAACCATCTCACTGTTGACAAACTGCACAGCTCCTGCCTGACGTCATGCGCCCACACCTGCCCCGGCTTCCAGTCCCGCCCTGGGTGCCCCACGAGCGACTTTCCATTCCTCGTCCTGTGCCGCCCTCAGATGCTCGGGCAGCTCTCCTGTCCCCCCTGAGCATCTTCTCCAGGCTCAACGCGGCTCTTGCCACCATTGCTTGCACGACACCTCTGTCCCTACCGTCGCTTCCCGATGGGAGCCTGCCCGTCCTGCCCTCCGGATCAAGGGGCCTGGACCTGTGATGGGGCCAGGAGGAGTGGACACTCACTCTATCCGGACCCTCCTGTGTCTGCTGTCCCAGCCCTGCCAGGCAGACACCTGCACATCCCCCGCCCCCTCACCCCTGCTTCCTCACCCGGTGCGCACCCACCGGGACTGGCTGCT